CTCTGTGTGTCTGGAAGTCCTACCTATCTCTCCTGCCTCACTATTGGCCAGTTAGCTTTTTATTACACTAATCAAAGAATACCTCTTCACTGTGTACAAATATCCCACAATAGGAGAGACAACCCCTTTGCTCCTTGCCCCTTGCTACCTACTTCAGACCGGAAAAACTAGCCCTTGGGTCACAAGAGTGGGAGAGCTGATCCTGCTCCTCACAGGCTACAGCACTCAGGAGAATGGACCCTGCACCTAACCCAGGCAGCATAGTAGAGTTGACCCCACTGATGGAGGTGCAGGTAATCCAGTGCCCTGAATGTGCAAGAGAGATCTGGCCCCACCCTTCATCTGCCACATGGTGGAGCGAGTAAGGGAGAGATAATGTACCCCATATCCTCTACCCCAGCCCTTGCTACCTGTGGTGGGTGGGAGAACTAGTCCCAAGACCATGAGAATGGGAGAATTGGCAGTGTCCCCCACCTGCAGCAGAGCTAGGGAGAGTAGGCCTTGCATTTCATCTGGGCCGCACAATAGAGCTGACCCTGTTGGCAGGGTGTAGGTGAGTGGGCAGGGAGAGCATGAGAGCAGGAGGACTGACCCTGCCCCCCATCTGCAGGGTATCCCTCCAAATGTCAAGATATGAACCTCGTTCTCTTTCTTTCTCTTTCTCTTTCTCTTTCCTTCTTTCCTTTTTTTTTTTTTTTGTTTTTTGTTTGTTTGGGGTTTTTTTTGTTTTGTTTTGTTTTTTGAGACAGGGTTTCTCTGTAGCTTTGGTGCTTGTCCTGGAATTAGCTCTTGTAAACCAGGCTGGCCTCGAATTCACAGACATCAGCCTGCCTCTGCCTGGGATTAAAGGCAAGAGCCACCACTGCCTGTCTAAAATATGAGCCACTTTCTACCTCCTTGTTTTGTAACCCCTAATTTTGAAATTTTGTAACTGCACAAGCATCTGCATAGTGCCAGCTGTGTCTGAGGCACTGTACTAAATTCTGGGAGTAAAGGAGCCAAGTGAAAAAAAAACTACCACAGGCAAACATCAGTCTCCAACTTTAGGGACCTGGTAACTTTTGCAATGAAACGATGAAGGCAAGTGATCCCAAAATATAAAATACAGTAAGACAAATACAAAGTGTTATAGCTGCTCAAAGGAGAAAGCTGTTGTAAAGTTTGGACAAAAAATTACGGAGAGCTTAGGAAATCTGTGGGCTTCACAGGAAAGGCAAATCTGGGTGTGGCCTCTGAAAGCTTGGGCAAAGTGTATTGGCAGAGAGGCAGTCAGGGATGACCAATATGAACAAAAACATAGGCTGGATGTACCAAGGTGAAGCTACCAAAGTTTTTTTCCTTCTCTGAATCTCTCTGGCGATTCGCAGGGCCGTGTGACTTTTGGCTTTCTGGAGTCTCTGCATTAGCTCTGGCTTGAGGGGATAACCTAGCTAGAACCTGGTTCTCTTTGTTATGGTGATTCCACTTGTATTCAAGGTCTTAGCAGTGGGCCGATAGCCTGCCTCCCCTAGCTGACCCTGTCCGAGAGGCCGGGAAGGCTTTAATCTTCCTCCTGCTCCTGGATGGGAGGAGGCCTTGCATTTTTGATACTTCTTGCCCACTGATATAAATACCTGTCTTGAGTTTAATAAAGTTGCCATTTACTCTTGTAGATGAGCCAAGTCTCTTTTGTCTGTGTCTCTTTTTCAACCCTCAGGACAATCGTCCCTTCTCGTGGGCCTGAGTTCAGGAAGCGCGCAGCCTGGGTCGGGCATGGGTATCCATTGGAAAGCGCAGACTCTTACACCAAGGTCCATGAGGGGCCTTGAGACTTGAGAGACAACTTAGGACAACAAATTAAGAAGAGTGTATTTGAAGGATACAAAGATACTTTGTGACAGAAGTGTCAAGGACAGATGGGAGGAACCCTTGGGAATCAGGAGGCCCCTTTCTCCTCCTGACTTCTCTATTAGTTTGAGTCTCTCTCAATGACTGCATGTAGCTTTCTGTCACCTACTTCAAACATCTGAAGGATACCAGACAAGGAGTCTAAAATCCTGTGTCTTCTCTTTGTTACCCTGGAAACTGCTCATCTACTGGCTGTAGTCAGGGATCCACGGTTGGGCTGATGCTTGTGAAGGCTGAGACAGTTGTTCCAACCTAGATGCCCTTTCCTGAATCATGGGTATGGAAGTGAGACTTTTCTCATGTGTAACATCAGTCAGGAGCTTGGGAAAGACATCAAGTACAAAGCTTGGCATTAAGGAGTTTGCTGGCTTTAGGTTCAGGTCCAAGATACAGTGCTAGTCAAAATTAGATTCCCTAAACCAATATACTGTTAGAAAAGTAGTCTTGCCCTTCCTCCATACCTTCTGATACAGAAACTCTCTGAATGTCAGAGCAAGTCTGAGGAGCCAGGTAGAACTCAAAAACCAGGTAGAACGTAAAAATTTCTCTGGGTTTGAGATAGATAATTTCTGTATTCTCACTTATCTTTATTACTACTTCCTTAGAATCATAATGAGATATGTGAAAGAGATACCAAAACTACAAGCATCTGGGTGGTGGCTACCTTTGTTTATCTATCTATCTATCTATCTATCTATCTATCTATCTATCTATATATATATATATCACAGTGTGCAGAGTTAGAAGCAACTTCCTGACATCCACAGATCTTCTAAGATAGAATATAGCCCCCCTTTCTCTTCTTCTTAGGGAAATTCAGGTTCTGGAGGCAATGTCTCTTTAACATAGAAACACTAGCACAAAGCTCATGCTCCAATCCATCATGATAAAAAAAAAAAGTAGAACTTTTTAGGTCAAAGAAAAAAGTAATGAAGAGAGTAGATTAACCTGTAGTCAGATGAGACCAGTGTGAAAATTTAAGAACCAGTGATATGAGCCAGCCACATTAATTGCCTCTCCAGTGTCTTTTTTTGGAATCACAAACCAAAATTGCCTACTTGAAGAACCATGATCAAGCCTCAAATTCCACCATTATAGAGAGTGCTTCACTTACCACAAACAAGGTAGCTCTAAAACCACAGCCACGTCAATACTGGAGTATTGCAGACTTTAACAAGAAAGGGAAGGAGGCAGAGAGGAAGCAGACATTTTGTAGAAATGCTGCACTAGAAAATGTTAGTTCATTAGTTCTTAAGTTACAGGAGATTTATGAAGTGTTTAGCAGGGTAAAACCAGCTAAAACCTTAGACATGACACTTAGAAGTGAAAATGATCTACTCTCAAGTGTCAGCTCTGTAAACTGCAAACAAAGAGATGCTCTGGACAGGGAATGTGTGTGCTTTGATAAAGGGAAGTGATGGGTTGGGTCAGCCTGGGTAAGTGTGGGAAGTAGAGAGGTTAGCAGTCAACAAGGATCCAAAAGAGGAACAAGTCTAAACCAAAATATAGATTTGTCTGATTGTTTTCCGCTCCGAATTTTGCCAAGATGTGGAGCAGAGGGGTGAATTGCTAAGAACAGTTGAACAGATTAAGCCTTAAATGAGGCAACACTACCCCTGTCAATGGGCCATTGCTACCTGGCAAGAGTTGTGAATGTTCTCCACCTAACAGGACCCTAGCAGGACTCTGAATACCAGTCATACTACTGGGATGAATGAGTACACATACATTCATACTAACTATTGTCTGTAAACAAATTGCTTGTTCATTTCCCAGATGGCCAGACCCAAATTTTATTAATTTTATTAATTACAGCGCTATTTGGCCTATTAGCTCAGGCTTCTTATTAACTAATTCTTGCACCTTAAATTAACCCATTTCTATTAATCTGTGTATTGTCCCGAGGCTGTGACCTACCAGTAAATTTCCAGTGTGTCCTTCTCCTTTGGCAGCTACATGGCATCTCCCTGACTCAGCCTACTCTCTCTATATATCTCTTCCAGCCTGGCTCTATTCTGCCCTGCCACAGGCCAAAGCAGCTTTATTCATTAACCACTAAGAGCAACACATATACAGAAGGACATCCCACATCAGTTGACAGCCAGTACTTTTTGCAGAATGATTTGATTTTTTTTCAAGTTGTTATTTTTTTTAATTAATTTATTTATTTATTATGCATACAATATTCTGTCTGTGTGTATGTCTGCAGGCCAGAAGAGGGCACCAGACCTCATTACAGATGGTTGTGAGCCACCATGTGGTTGCTGGGAATTGAACTCAGGACCTTTGGAAGAGCAAGCAATGCTCTTAACCACTGAGCCATCTCTCCAGCCCCCTCAAGTTGTTATTTATATTTATATATATATATATTATATATATACTATATATATATACTTAAATATAAGTATTTATATTCTTAATAAAGTCTCAAGTTGTGGAGATCCAGTCAGTCAATGTCAATGCGTCTATACTCAACTAGGACACAGTGGGAATCTGCCTTCACAGAAGGACACAGAGGCAGGTATCCCCCTCAAACAGGTAGCAGCTATGCTACTTCTGGAGCCAGTCTTATAAATAAACCCCCAATATTATTACTGTAATCTTACAGTTTATACCCTCACCATGTGGTGCCAAGGTGCCCTCAAACTTGTGGCTGTTCTGCCTCAGCTTTCCAAGTTCTTGGAGTAGAGATGTGCACTATCATACTCAGATCTACTTGTTTGGTTTTGAAACTACTTGTCTTAAAAGCATCAGAGAGTTCAGTGGCATGCCTTGCTTACTCCATTCCCTGTTATCTTTGTACTTGATATAAAGCATTGGTCAGACCCTTTTGCTCTAGAGTCCTTCTCCAATATCCATGCTTCAAATGCTCAAAATAATGAAAACACAGTCAGACGTGAAGGTATACACATGTAACCCCAGTACTCAGAAAGATGAGTCCAGAGAATCATGACTTAAAGGCCAGCTATGCCACAGTGTGAGACCTTGTCTCAAAAAACAAAACCAAACAAAATTGAGCCAGTAAACACAATCTCTGTAGCTTCCTCTTATTGACACGGAGCAGGAAAGACTGGCTGCTGACTAGGAAAGAGGCTAGCTTTAAGCAAGTTCACATTGATGGAGACTACTTGGCTGCTATTTGGAACCATGAAACCCACCTGTGTGAATGGTGCATATCAATGTGGCTGGAAACACCTGTGCTTAGTATCAGAGCGTGCCTGGAGCTGTGTCCTCCATCTGGCCACATACTCTGTGGACACTCCTGCCTTTACCAAACCACCATGGTAGGTGGCCTTTTGGGTCAACTGGTCTCTCTGTTTCTGCTCTTCTCTTAACAGCCCATGCTCAGAGAAAGACCTGAGGGATGCTGCTGAAAATACCTGTCGTCCATTCTTTTGTCTGCTGTGAGTCTCAGCACACTCCTCCTGCACCAGTTTTATTGGTCTTTTGTTGATTGTTTGGGCACAGGTGTTCAAATTTCTCTAGGCTGATTTAAATACAAAGTGTTGGATCAGGGCAGCTCTGTGGCTTTTTTTTTTTTTTTTTTTTTTTTTTTAGATATTGCTACATTTCTGCAAAGGAGCTTTCCAAACTAATGTCCAACCCCTATGACAGAACAAGGTGAATTTTTCACAACTTTATTGTACATGCTCACATCTGTTAGCCCTGAATTATACCTGCCATCTGTCCAGAACATTTTCTTGATTTTAAGGGAAGTTTAGTATATTTTCATTCTTTATTGGTCGTGTGTATTTCTTTTGTTGGAAATCTTCTGGAAGATACAGATAAGTAAATTTCTTAACAAGTTGATTTTACTTTTCTACCAATTAGAAGGTAAATACAGAAAGCTACCTATTGTCCTTATTTGCACATGCATTGGCACAGAGATGCTGTGGTGTTCTCTTGGTTTTTATGTATTCTATTCTATTTAATCATGTGTTGTTTTATTGTTTTTGCTTCTAAGGCAATATTGCTCATGTGTGCATTTTCTCAGTTTTTCTTTGTCATCTTTGATAGAAGTCACATTATTAAAATTCACCAAATGAATTGTAGTAAAAAACAAAAATATTCAAAATACTTTAGAATTCAGGACTGTTTTATAGATCTATGCTTTTATGTTTATTCTATTCTAAATATTTTGTAGTTTTTGTTCTGCTTTCATTTTAACTCATGAAACATTTAGAAATTTAGTTTTTAGTTTCCAAACAGGTTCTTTTGTTTTGTAACTTAATAAACTGTAGTCAGAGACTATGATCTATATGGTAACATTTTTTTTTCAAATTAGACTGTAATTCTATGATGAACTCATACACAGTCAACTATTACAAGAGTTCCAATTATATTCTCTATGTTAGAACTTCTCAGCTGGGAATACATAAGTGGATTGTGGCATGTTGTGACATGTCATTGTCCTCTGTCCTAAGAACATCTAGTTGGCATCTTGCAATGAGTAACTCAACACAAGCACCACATTGTGTGCTTGGGAAGCTTGTCAAAAGCCCTGAGCAGTAAGCACAAGTGCTTACTCAACCATTGCTGTTCCATGGTGGCATGTTAGGTCCATAGGCTCTCTAGGTGGAGATAGACGCTGTCTACCTAGCTGGCTGTAGATTTCCAGCTGCTCACAAAGGACAAGGCCCAGTGGACTCTTAGGGGACTGTGCTCTTGTTCCCTGTGCCCAAGAACATGGGGTATGCCAAAGGCCTCCAGCTTAGTTGAGAGTCTGTGAACAGACAGACAGCAACACAAATTTTGCTTTTATATATTTAGGATTTTTCTATCAATTTGTGTCTGATTTGCCCTTTCTGCAGTTTTTAAGCCAGCTGCAGGTGACCATTCTAAGAATTTGTGTGTAATTTGTCAGTGTTGTATTAGGTTGAACATCATAATTTAAAGCATTTTGCTTTTTGATACTAATTTGTATTTTCATGTTACAAAAGTATTACATTTGTTAATTAAAGATAAAGAAACAGTAAATATTTTATATATTTTAAAAGTTAGAAATTTTTGAGTGTTTATAAATATTAAATTTTAATTTTACTACTTATGCAAATAAAATTCCTCATTGATCATGATTATCAAGAAATTAAAATTGTCATTAAAAATCTTGATGGGGATTGTGCATAACAATTAAGGTATAAAATAGGATAAAGGTTTATGTCTATGGGAGAAACTTCTCCAGTTTAAAAATTGGAAACTATTTTATGTATAAAGTTTCTAAAAGGTCAGTATTTAATATTTTTTACTATAGTGAGTGTTATATCTTATCACTGTGGGTAGGATATAGGTAGTCTGTCTTTAAAGGTCCACATACTGGGAAAATTGAAAGTGATAGTGCGGACATTGTGGAACTTCCCTGGGTATTAATCTCAGAAGACATTTTCATTAGAATTGATAACTTAAATGATCTAATTTATGTTGAAGAACAGAAATTTCACTACTTAAATTTTTAAGTAGAAAGTTACTATGTATATAAAAATGAAAATTACATGAAAATTATTGTATCTTATCTTTATTATTCCAGATAGTAATATAGTTGTGAATTCTGATCCTGTCATGAAATTATCAGTCATTTCTTCCAACTTTGTTCAATTGTTATTATAATAAAGCACAAATTTTAATGTTCATAACTTGAATCACATGCTTTAATTATGGGTTTTTTTATCCCCTCCCTCCCTTCCCTCCTTCTCTTGTTTCCTTCATTTTTTTTTCTTCAGGCCAGGCTGGTCTGGAGCTTATGTAGCCTCCTGAATGTTGTGATTATAAGTGTGAGTCAACACACTCAACTTAAATGTTTCTTTTCTTTTAGGGGATGTGTGTGACTGTATATGTATACACACATACATGTAAAGGCCAGCGGTTGATGTCAGGTGTCTTTCTTAATTGATCTTCACTTTAGTTTTTTGAGACAAGGTATATCATTAAAGCTAGAGTTTGTCTATTTGGCTAGACTGGCTGGTAAGCAAGTTTCAGGGATCTTCCTATCTCTTTCTCCTCGACTGTGGGATCGTAAGAATTTTTATCTGGGTCTGGAGGATTGAACTCAAGTCTTCATGCTTTCATGACAAACATGTTATTAACTGAGACATTTCCCTAGACCCATGTCTAGTTTATTCGTTTAACTTTTATTTTGATATAATTTTAGTTCACTTACAGTTGTAAGGAATGATACAAATAAATCTAGAGATCATAAATACCTTTGACTTAATTTCTTTCACAGTAACCTACTGACAAAGTGTACAGTATCGAGGACACAAGCTCGATAAAATTGGGACACATAACAGAGTCATGTGTGCACACCCACTTCCTCTATGATCCCACCTTTCCCACAGTACTCATCTTTACCACCTGCTAGTTTAATTTCCATTCCTAAAATGTTATAGTTTCAAGAATACATGAATGAAATCACATAGCATATAATCCCTTGAAATTGCATTTTTACTCAGTATAATTCTTTTGAAATTCGTCTATATTGTGGTCAACATTTTTCTTTTTGTTGCTAAGTAGATCCGGAGATCTTGTCTAATTCCCCTTCCCAGCAGGATCCATGTATGTCTCTCTTAGGGTTCTTCTTGTTACCTACCTTTTCTGGAGTCGTGCACTTATAGGTTGGTTGTCCTTTGCTTTATGTCTAATATCCACTAATGAGTGAGTACATATCATGTATGTCTTTCTGGGTCTGGGTTACCTCACTCAGGATGTTTTTTTCAAGTGCCAGCTACTTGCATGCAAATTTCAAGATGTCATTTTTTTTTTAAACTACTGAGTAGTATTGTGTAAATGTACCACATTTTCTTTATCCATTCTTCAGTTGAGGGTCACCTAGGTTGTTTCCAGGTTCTGGCTAGTACAAATAATATTGCTATGAGCACAGTTGAGCAAATGTTCTTGTTGTATGAGTGCATCTTTTGGGTATACATCCAAGAGTGGTATTACTGGATCTTAAGGTAGAGTGATTCCCAATTTTCTGAGAAACCTCCATACTGATTTCCAAAGTGGCTACACAAATTTTGTACTCCCACCAACAATGAAGAAGAGTTCCCCTTATTCTGCATCATCTCCAGCATAAGCTATCATCGGTGTTTTTGATATTAGTCATTCTGACAGATGTAAGATGGTATCTCAGAGTCGTTTTTATTTGCATTTCCCTAATGGCTAAGGATGTTGAGTATTTCCTAAGTGTCTTTTAACCATTTGCAATTCTTTAGAGAATTCTCACTTTAGATCTGTGTTCCATTTTTTGGTTGGATTATTTGGTATTTATCCCTAGTGCTTGAATTGACATTTTGAAGCCCATTCTTTCTGGAGGGATATCTTGCTCAGCCTAGATATAGCAGGGAGGGCCTCAATCTTACCTCATAGTGGTATGTCAGACTTATTGGCTCCCATTGGGAAGCTCAGAGAGCTGGGATTGGGAAAGGTAGGGGAGCCAGAGGAGGGAAGGGAGTGGGAACTGGGATAGGTATGTAAAATGCGAAAAGATGTTAAAAAAAAAAACAAATTTAATAATCAATTTTTTTTAAAAAGTGAGCTCCGCCCTTTCCTTGCTGTCTTCCTGTCAATCCTCTCTGGTGGTTAGTCTCTATACCTTTCCTCTTCCCTAATAAAATCTCCATGTGAGTTTGTTTTATGGGATGTTTGTCCTTGCCACTTCTAGACTAAAACTATAGCTTAATATGAGGCCAAGAAACCAGAATAAAACCAAGATACTATTAACCAAAATAAATCTTTCTTCTTTTTAAGCAGATCATCCTAGGCATTTTGTCATAGCAGCAGAAAGTCAACTAATATCTGATTTTTTTCTTACCAATTCTAGGATGTGTTTTTAATTTTTATGGTTTTTCTTTTTTTGTTAAAAAAATTGAACAAGGTGAAAGACCCCCGATTTGGGGAGACTCTCACTCGAGCCTCGGGATGACGCGAACCCCCCCCAGTAACTCACAGAGACCATCCTTGCTGCAATCACACGAGGTTTAATGGCAAGACGACAAGATGGGGACCAGTGCACTGGGGCCAAGACTCATAACCCACGCAGGGGAAGAGTTCGACCTCGAGTGCCGGGGAGAAGTAGTTTTTATAGGAAGAAACCACACAGCCCAGTAATCCGAAAAGGGGGGCAGGGAGGGTGTCCAGTGATGATTACAAAGGGGCAACTCCCTGCCTCTCAAGATCATTAATCAGCTAGTTCCTGTTCCAGTGATAATTACTAGGGTGTGATAATTACTAGGGGGAATCTCTTTGTCTCTCAAGATTACTCTCAAGATTACAATCTACCTTTATCTTC